AGGCCATGCCAACTTTCTGCAACTCCCAAATATCGGGAGTGCTCACCTGGCGCAATCGTCTCCGGCGGTGGCGCAACAGGCTCTGACAGAGCCTACTTCGTTCGGATTCTCTTTCAACGCCCTCGGAACTTCCTTGGAGGAGGCAACCTCGTCGTCTGCCTCTTCCCAGCCGCCTTCGGCGGCGTCTGCCGCCACACAGGCGGCACCTGCATCTGCCTCATCAACGTCGAGTGCGCAGGACCACCGACTGCCTTCAGGCTTCTTCGGTGCGTTCATGGCGACTCATGCAGAGTTGTCGCTTGCTCCTTTTCGCTCCAACGGTTCGTCCATCCGGATGGTTGTGGACAGTGGAGCGACAGACAACTACCTCGACCCTGGGCTTACACCAGGATTGCGGGCTCATATGCGCGACGTCGAACACCTTCGGGTTCCACACCAGATCGTCGCCGCGGGCCAGCATGTCCTCAAAGGTGTTGCGACGGGGACTATCTTCGGCGCTGTCACGGATGACAAAGGAAACGACCGGCACGTCTCCTTTCGCGTCATCATGGTACCAGGACTGGGCACCAACCTCTTCTGTGTGACATTGGCGATGCTAAAGGGGGTGGCGACGATGTTTCATCCGGACAACCCCAGGTTGGAGTCGGGTGACGTGGTTTTCCCGATGCAGAACCTCGGGGTGGACGCCACGGCCAGAAAATGCGTCTACTCCATCGAGGTGAAGTTAGGGGGTGAACCTGGCGGCCCGACGGTCCTCGGAGACGCCCCTGAAGCCCTCGCCTTGAAGGTGGAGTCCGCTGGTCTCTGGCACCGGCGCATGGGGCACATCAACGGCAAGAGCTTGGACGTTCTAAGGAAAGAACCGGTCAACGGCGTCGACTACACCGGAGAAGTGAAGGACTGCAGTGTCTGCCCGCTCGGAAAGAGCGCACAACAACCTCATCCAAAGCAGGCCACCTACGGCGTCTTGCGCCCCTTCCAACACGTTTCCGTCGATACCCTTGGCCCCTTCACGCCTACAGCGTTGGGCGGATTCAAGTATGCCACCAAGTTCGTCGACCAGCAGACCAAGTGGGCGGAGATAGTACTCATGAAGGACCAGACCTGTTCTGTAGACTCCCTCGCGTTGTTCAACAAAGGGACCGTGGTTCCTACCGGCGAACGCATTCATTGCCTCCGCGGGGATCAAGGCACATAATTCACGAGTGCGGAATTCCGTCAGTACTGTCAAGATATCGGCATCAAGCTGGAGTTCGCCTCTCCAAACACCCCTCAGCAGATCGGAGCGAACGAGCGTGCGGGTCGGACGATTTTGAATATCGTGCGCTGTCTGCTCGCTGACTCAACTCTACCGAACTTCCTTTGGGGGGAGCTGATCCAGACGGCAGTCTACCTGAGCAACCGGGTTCCTCATGCAGCCCTGCAAAACGGGACGCCGTACACGGCCCTCTACGGCAAGGATGCCTACCTTGGTCACCTTCGGGTGATAGGATCAAGGGCGTTCGTGCACGAAGAGACCCACACCAGGAAGATGGAGCATCGTGCTTGGGAAGGACGCCTTGTCGGATACAGCATGGACAGCAAGTCGTACCGGATCTACAACTCTGAGACGCGACGTGTACGGGTGAGTCGAAATGTTGTCTTCATTGAGACACCTCCCGTTGCACCTGCGTTGGATGAGGGTGGCTTCGACGGCGGGGAGTTCACGTACGACAACCACGACGACATGGTAAGAGACGTGCGAAACTACACTTTCAACCACTCAGTTGATTCGCTCTCTCCTGATCATGACGTTGGGGACATACCTGTGATTGAGCTTCAAGAGCTAATCCGTGCGACAACCAAACGTGACCTTGGGGTTAGTCCTGCAGGAACTGCTCCCAACGACGACGCGTCTAGGACTTCTGGTGGTACACCTACGGGAGGTAGCCCTGCCTCGCCTGGGGGAGTAAACCCCCTTGAAACGGATGACGGTGCGTCTCCTCCTGGTTCGTCACCTGATTCGGCGCCGCTTGGTTCATCGCCTTCTGGTCCTGCACCGTCTAGTGCTGTACCGCGGGGTGGATCTGCGCGTGGGCGCGGTTTGTCTCGTGGTGGCCGAAGTGCTCGTGGTGGATCTTCGCGAGGAGGATCTGCGCAGGGAGGCATCACGCCACGTGGAGGTCGCGGCTCGGCAAGTGGAAGTGGTTCTCGTGGTGGACGAGGATCCACGTCGGCACCTGCTGTCACCAGGTCGAGTTCGCGCATGCCCACCTCAAAGACCATCCGCGAGCTTCGTCGTATCTCCTACGCATTTACCGCGAAAGGGGAGTTCCCTGACGTTGCCCATAGGGACGGCTCCTTTGGTTTCACGGAATATGCGTACGCTATGGGGGCATCCCAACCGGATGTTCCACGAACGATCCAAGACGCAAGGGCCATGCCGGACGGACCGCAGTGGAACGCAGCTGCAGAACGCGAGATCGCGAGTCTCAAGGAACGTCAAGTGTACAAGCTCGTCCCGCGCAAGGCAGTTCCCCAAGGGAGGAAGCGGATTAAGTCCAAATGGGTGTTCAAGCGTAAGGCAGACGGCTCCTTCAAGGGGCGTCTAGTGGCACAAGGCTGGAACCAAGTGCCTGGCCTGGACTGCGGCAGCACCTACGCTCCGGTGTGCAGGTTACAGAGCATTCGGATGTTAGCGTGCATAGCCGTGCAATTCAACCTGGAGTTGGATCAAATGGACGCGTCCACAGCCTTCCTCTACGCGGACATCCTGGAGAACGTGTTCGTCGAACAGCCACCTGGCTTCGAGGTCAAGGACAAGGATGGAGGTGATCTAGTGATGCAGCTACAGAAGAGCCTCTACGGGCTGGCCCAAAGCCCCAGTAACTTGTTCCACACCATCGACCCTTTCCTTGTTGAGATAGGTTTCGTTCCTCTCAAGTCTGACACTTGCGTCTACCTGTACGACCACGACGACGATCAAGTCTACTTGACGCTCTACGTTGACGATCTTCTTCTAGCCGGAAACAACGCAAATGTCATCTTGATGATAAAGGAGAAATTTAAAGTTCAAGATGGCAGACATGGGCGACGTGAAGCTTGTCTTGGGTATGGAAATTAAGAGGGACCGCACCCAAGGTACACTGACGGTTTCCCAAGAAGCGTACAGCAAGTCCATCTTAGAAAGATTCGGGATGTCTGAATGCAAACCAACCAGCACGCCTGGCTACGGTTCGGAACTCTCCAACAAGCAACCAGAGGACACTCTGCTAGGCGAGGAGGAAACGCGACGTTATCAGGGCATCGTGGGGTGCCTGATGTACATCGCTCAAGTGCTCCGCTACGACATCATGTACGCTACGGGTCAACTGGCCCGTGCAATGGCGAAGCCCAGCAAGATCCACATGGTGGCAGCTAAACACACTCTTCGCTATCTGGCCGGCACCATGGATTTTAGAATCACGTACAAGGTTGGAGGCTTCAAGCTTGCGACCTTTTCGGACTCCAACTGGGCGAACAACCCTGACAACGGAAAGTCCACCTCTTGCTACTTGACGATGCTAGGCAATGCACCGGTGAGTTTTAAGTCGGGGATACAAGGTCCAACTGCCATGTCTACCATGGAGGCAGAGCTGATTGCATCGGCACTAGCCTTGAAGGAAGCAGTGTTCTGTTCTAACATGCTAACTGAGCTAGGGTTCGGTAAGGAGTTTGCGCAAGTGCCGCTGTACTGCGACAACACGGCGACGCTGCACGCGCTTGGAAACCGCTCCTTTAGCTCGAGGACAAAACATATCGCCCTTCGTTTCTTTTACATCCGAGAGCTAGTATCGGAAGGACGGATATCGATCCATTACATCCCGACGGAAAGCAACCCTGCTGACATCGGGACAAAGCATCTTAACAAGCATCGGCTCAAACACCTGCTGGACATCATCAGGAGCTTCAACGTCAACGACTTCATCAGCAACAAGTCCAAGTAATCGTGTTATATGTTTGTGTGTTTGTTACGAAGTATTTTTGCATCTGTTCTGTTTGTGTGAATCAGCGTGTTCTTTCGGTAGTCAACATTCGGCCTCGCACCATCACTGGTTGAACCAGCCATGTAGGATTGAAAGTTATTATGCTTTGGTTTATGCAAGAAATAATAGCAGGTACTCTTTGCAAGCGCCTGAAGGTATTGTAGCACGTGTAAAACATGAATTATCACTTGGTACATTAGTGGTTGAAACGCATGAAACGAATGAGTTACGTTACGCAGGAAACGAGTGTACTTGCTTTAATATTCATCACTGTAGTTTGGTACAATTCAGAGCAACTTTCATTGGGGGGGAGTGTTATGGAAACGTTAGCACATAGCCAGTATTAGTCAATGTTCAGCAGCACTGCTCTTGTATATCGTAGGTTTCATATGTGTCGGTTCGAATGTCGGTTCGAATGTAACGTGCGTATGTATACGCGGAGGAATTAATTACTCTAGCAGTATTCTCTGCGTGGTGCTTGGTAACCGAGTAGCTCACTCTCTCGTGTGATCCTTCCGGATTGTGTTGGCCATCTAAGCGCCAGTGTTCCAATATCTCTACATCTTCTCCACTCCGTGGAAGGACTCTCGTCTTCCAGGCTACCCTCTAGCACGTGTCATCACCTCGACTAACGTCGACGACACAGCCTCTACACCACCGTGCCAGGGTATTACACAATATCCATAATATAGTCAGCCGGGTAGCGCGGTCGATGCTTCAGCAATTCATTAAAGAAACACTTTCTTCGCCCAACGTCGACCATGCCGCTCGGACTTCTGCACCGTTTGCCCAAAGTAATGAGACGAGGTGGGGCCTGCCTGTGATCGATTGGGAAAAAATTGGCCTTTCGAAGGGATCACCTGCAGGGAGTTGTAGCGCCCTGATCACTCCTTCTACGTTCGCTCGGCACGCACAGCATGGTGTTGCAACCGGGGTTGGAGCAATCCCCGATATCGTCGTCGTCTTGATGACTGTGGGTGGGGGGCAAATTGTTTTCAGCCTGCTCAACTATTGCGAGGGTGCGCCGCTAGCCGTCCACGCACGCACGAATATATGACAATCCTTTCGGTTCATTGGCACTGCTGCTGCAGTCGGGCTAAAACATAGACCCGTTAACAACCTCCCCCTTTCAAACTCAATCTTCGCCTGCCCACTCATATGGTAAATATATACTTCCATAAACAATAACCTTCTTCCCTCCCCGACAGAGAGACACTCCGCTTTCAATGCTCTCGACAGCTCCTTTGACTCGCAAAGCACTTGCAGTAATGCTCGGCTATTCGTTCCGTAGACTTCCCGTCTATTTACATGAGCACAAAAAACATTCAAACGTCACGCCGGCGACCGCCATGTGCTGTTGGCCTTGCTACTCACGCTCGTCCGCACGCCAACAAAAAAAAATCTCGACTCCTCAAGGACTCTGAGTCGACTTGGCAATAAGCCCTTCCTATGGTAATTCTACAGCCCAACGTTCCGAAAATATCACTCTGATCTGCTCGGAGTATCCCTCCATGGACCATTCCCTAACGCAACTATACAAGTTTTTGCCCCTTCCATTGTTCAAACATTTATTCATATATATATACAAGCTGCACTTCGACCTGAGCGGGCGGATGCCGTGAGCCTCTACCCGTCCGTACGTTCTAAATCGCTTGCGAGGCTACCCTAGCTCGTCCCTTGGCTTCGTCGACTAGCCCGTCTCTTCTCTCCACCCCTATTAACATATCGTCGACCATTTTGTTCTTTCTCATACCCTTGAGCATGTCGGCTAACATTTTATTGTTCTCAGCGGCATCGGGAGCGACCTGCATGGGCGAAACCGACAAGGCAATCGAAGAAGGGTGTGGAGTGCGAATGAAACAGCCGAGCAATATCTGTCAAAAATAATATTTCCAGTACAGGGCGGGGGAGGCGAAATGAGACCGCTATGGTCCAAGGGAAAACACGAGCCTGAAAAAGAGCACCCGGCGCTATTCTGAGTATGAGACAACTTGAATAGTCAGTCTGTGCTACGGGATTTCACTGGCCTATTCTAGGGCAGGCGGCCGTATAAATGCGGTATTATATCGGGCACTTTAGTATACCATGAACCAGTAGAGATTCGTTCAAACGTGCGTTCAGAGATAGTGAAAATAAGAACAAGCACACGAGAAGCCAAATGCTAGAAACGTAAATCAAGGCGCAATCAGCAATTCGCATTCCAAAGAAATCCTCAACCACGCACCAAGTTGGAACACTGGGAACATAGACAGTCTTGCGTCGCCTGGGGAGCGATGTCGCCCAATGGGCAACTCAGAAATACCGATGATCGTTTTCGTTTTCACGGTAACACCCTAAAACGAGAGCCAACTTGCAACACGCCACCGCTGAACAAACCCAAACGCAACCGTGCGTGCAGTGTTTTCTTGTCACCTTGAGAACGAGGTCGCCCAGCGCATCCATTACGACACTGGCAGCTTTGTCCATGAGCGGGACCCTGGAGTTGAGGACGATCTGTGATACGGCAATTCGCGGGGTGGTGGCGTGTCTGTGTGAAATTACGCGACAAGCGTGGTGACACGACTAGAGGTTGACACTCTGGAAAACTCCTTCACGGGCGATTTCTCCAATGGACCATGAGAGCAACCTGCACTCTACTTCCTGCAAAATGCATCGGTGTGTGTTGCGTCCTGCTGAACGTTCATGACAGTACCTCACGCCGTTCACAAATACAAGGGGAACCGTACGGCCTGAACTTGAGTACAAGGACACGAGGTACTATTGCAGAGAGCAACCAAAGTGCACCTGCTTGAACAGCCGGATGTATTCCGACGTGGAGTGGTCATCGATGCCGCGGATGTACTCGAACCTCAACCACCAGAGAAGCTGGTCTAAAATTCGGTCCGCCATGCTTGCCATAGATATCGTCCCGCTAACGTGCAGGAAATCGCGCAAACGTTGGCGGCGGCGAACACAAAGAATTGCAAGTATTTTGATGGTGAAGAGCAGTGGCAGCGTCGCACGTATGGTGAACTCATTCCTGAGCAAACACGCTGCTCAGCGTTTACATTTGCAGGTGGAGTCACACAATCGCTGCATCGAAGGATGTTGAAGTAAGCGGTGGAAACGGAAATGCAATACTGGCGTGCATTTTCACTCATTGCATGCAACTGTTGCCCAACATCTCCGCATGGAAAATCCTCTCGTCCGAACACCAAGGTGAGCGAAGATATTCCCTACAAGACGGCGAGATTGGTTTTGGATCGTATGTGACAATACAAGCATCTCCGACTTGATCATCTAGACGCACATCATCAGCGGCCAGAAAATTTCGCCATTATTGTTGAGAAAAATATGAACTGAACCGATAAACAGGAGGAAATGTTGGGCTTCACTATCATAGAAGAAATCGACCAAAAAACACTCACTCATCACGAAAAAAACAAGGGCGACCTAGTCCCCACGTGTGTAAAAAACACTCACTCATCACGAAAAAAACAAGGGCGACCTAGTCCCCACGTGTGTAGGTTCAAAAATGCATCTTACACCCTTTTTGGCAAGGCCCAGAGAACGGCCTTGCAGGCCAGGGGGCGCCGAGAACGGACACATGCACCGGGTACGGGGAGGTGGGAAGAAGCCTTGTATCGACTTATCAAGCTGGTCGACCTCGGTGCTGCTGGAAATGTTTGCGATACGCAGCGTTACATCACAGACAAATCCGGAGGGGACAACTCCAATACCAACGCCAAACGTTTAACCCCCCTAATCTTCATCTGTCAAGTTGAACGGTGGGAGCGACGAGGAAAAGTGTGAAAAAGACGGCAGACGCAACCTCTAGTCAAGACTGCCGAATACCTGAAAATACTTTCACTCTTCGTGGACAACTTGAATGAAATGGGACGTGGCCCAATTGTTTATTAAGTGCGTAATGAAACGAAAACAGATCAGTGCTGCAAACGAGCCTCCCACCACAATGCATACTCCATCGATTGCCTAGACCGTCTTCCGAAACCTCGGACGCGGCACTCACCATTTGTCGATGTAAATCTCCGTGCCCACGTGGACATAGGGGCTTTTTGGAACGGTCGGCACGGGGTCCTTGTTGTTCCTACACCGGAAGTACTTTTCTTTGAGGGTTTTGCCGCCGTTCGGCCGGCCGTCGAAGTGCCTGCCCGCAGCCCGGTTGAACAACCTGCAAGGTATTGGAGTTTGTTACACACAACAAGAAAAGGATGGATACGATTTGGGGGGAAAATATTCAACGAAAGGGCAACATCAAGTAGCACTGCAGCACGAAACGCGAAATTAGCACCAAGGAGAAATTCGTTGCACAAGGCGTACTTCTGCATAGGATGGGGGTTTCTGGACGCACCACTATTCTAACGAGGACAATAAACACGTGATACAACCAAGCAAAAGCACGGGCGTGGTATTCAACGACATGATACTCATAGTTTGGGTTCCGGAAATTTGATAGCAGGATATCCCGCATGTCTAAGTCGTCGAACGAAAAACAGCCCTAGAGGGCGAGCGATGACGCAGCTTCTCCAAAGTGTCGCAACTGATTCTCCTCACATCTCTCATCGAAAGCACAGCACATAAGATCCTCGTGCCAAAGAATGTCTCAGATACTTGGAGTTGGCAAAGGCCTCACCTAGGGCTACCGATAGTGTAGATGCCTGCGATGTCCAAGTCGTCGATGAAGGCCACACGGGCGGCAGCATTTGTTGCCAGGGCACCACCAAGCGAATGTCCCGTAAAAAAAAGCTTGCGGTTCTTCCCCTTTTCGTTGTATAGGTCCATGATGGTCTGGTACATACCGGTGGGTTGACCGCTGGGGGTAGAGAACCAGACAGTGCTCACCGCATCATCAAACCCCTAGTGATCACCAAACACATAAAAACGAAAACGCATCGAGCATTTGTTACGTCCTGAAAGCTTTTTCGTCCGTAGAGCACTAGAAGCAGGTGTTCGAAACAGTGCCTTTGATGCTGTCTTATCACATCACACTTTCTGCCAAGGAACTTCGGCTGTCGATTCAGATGACCTTTCCCGTATCCAATCATATTCCACAGAATGTATCCCAGTCAAATTTACCCGTTTCGCTTGGACTCCGAGAGATCCAAGCAACGTGAGTCGAGGCAAAGAGTACCAAGAAAGGGTACTTCTTGAACAACTTAAAGGGTACTTTTTGAACAACTTTACGTACTGATGTTCAGGCAAAATCAGCAATGCCTTTTGTTCTAGGACCATGCGTTGACAGGCCAGGTCCAGTGTTAGATTGTGCAGCTTGTCTTGCATGGCCGAACGCATCAACAAAACCTGCCCTTGCCGTAGAGCCCTAAGGCACAAACGCAAACCCTCGGCTGGTTTGTGTTTTGGCGGATAGAGCCTGAAAGCACATATTTCACACACAAACGTTCACAACTTGGACATTCATGGACTCAACCTCACCGAATGTACCCAAAATCTCACCGTATGCACGGTGCCCCCCGGCGGTGGCACCCTCCACTCCTGAGGACATTTTTTGGGCTTGACCTTGGCGTTGGTGTACCAATCGGCGACGCCCATGGTGCCCCGAAATACGACGGCGAGGATGTCATCGCTGGCCGCGACAAAGGCGTCTGTATCGTGTAGGTTGCCGAACGGGTTTTTTCTTGCCTCCTCCCCTCCCTTTTTTCGACACATGCGACGAGGCGCGGCGGGTGCTTGTGTGTTTCGAGAAAAATGTGATGCCAGCGAAACATAAATATTGCGAGATGTACTCACCGTGACGCGACTACGTTGCGATGAAGCTTGTACTCTGAGAAGAGTTGGGTTTCGACCTTCACCTCGTAATACTTTAATCACGCAACCGTTCAAACCGTTTTACTTGTACGGCTCTGAAACTCCAAAAATGTAAAATTCGAAACGGCGAAGAACTGGGCACAGTTCGACTGTTCGTTAGGGGCACCTGTCGTTGGATCCACTGTTTGTCGCGTTTTCATGTTGATCATGAGGTGCGTTGTACTGCTGTCGGTGACAACACCCGGGTTGCGGTCCCGCAAAACGAGAAAACAATATTCATGGGGGCTCCGCGAACATCGATGGTACCCCGCGTGAACCCCAAGGGATTTGCTGACATGCGACACCATCTGGTGCATACCTTTGTCGCCGCTGGGGCTCCTAGAACAGATGGCTACGTGCTGTGAAACCAGCAGGATATCTCAAGCACGTGGTGTTCTACACGCGCAGACATTTGCAAGAACCGTGCGACGAAAAGTGAAAGGGCTGCTGCTTCGAGCCCGTTGCGCAGCTCTCAGCACCAAACTTCACGCTGTCCACCTTCGAAGAGCGGACGAACTCGCTCGAGACTTCGCCAGAGTGGACTACATAGGCATAGGTACAACTGAGGGTCGCTCCCGTGAAGCACTCCTATCGCCTGTATGTCGATCAAATATGCCCAACGTGTCTACCTCCAACTTTGTTTGGACTTCTCCGGAGATACCACCTCACACTGGAACTTCAGCGCTGTGTCCACGTCGGTAGAGTTTCAAACAAGCTTTCAAAAGTGTCAACGTGAAGAGGACACCTCAGAGAGTCTTTTCAGGGGTGGGGCAAAATTTGGATCGCAACTGCAGCCAGCGTTGATGAGGAATGACTGCTGGTCCCGATGGGAAACGAAGCCGCAAGGGGCTCCGTACCATCATTACTTTGTGACGAAAAAAACACGCTATTTGTGGGGTCTGCAACCCGGGTACAGGATGGGTTAGTTAGAGTCATCGGGGCACACGGGGTATGTCATGACCCCTGGCTGTTACGAAACCCCCACTCCTCGCATCGTCGAGCCTAAATTCTTCCTGTGTTTGTCTGCATATTCCCTTACGTCGTTGCGAACAATAGAAGAACGCACATGAGCAGGTTGCATCAGCTGCAGGGAAAATACCGAAACGAATGAGTGGATGACGAATGTCGTCCATTTTGCTAGAACGGTAAAAACGAAATACAAGATTTCCCTGTCAGTCTAACGGGTGTGCCTTCGTGACACACATCCCACCACCCACCTCAAACCAGTGAAAGCGGTCGAACCCAAGCCCTCGCTCAGTGGAGTTTCCCACCAGAAGTCCCCTCGCCTCATCCTCCGAAGCGTAGGCGATCTTGCTCAAACCCGCAAAAAAAAACGCATTCAAGGCCGAAAACCCCTTGGCAGATAGATCTGGTTTCATTTTCACCTGCGTTTGGAACGCAGTATTCGTGTCACCGGGGTTCATTCACCAAGTGAGACAACGATATGGAAGATTTTCACCTGAAACATTTTATTTTTCTAAGCATGTTCCATAAAATTGCAACTGCTGTAATCTATGCAGACTTTCGTGTGACCAAACTGTGAAAAATTTGCTTGAAAAATACTTCGTTGTTCTTCCGCCAGATGTATGTACATGTGCCAATTCAACGTTATTCGTGCTTCGGCCCAACTTAGGCTCGCGGCAGCGAGCCCCTTCTCATGGTTCATTCTCAGGGGCACGCAAGAGGGTCGTCGGTATCATATTACCGCACACACCCGAGGACCGCCAGGCACCCGTGGAACGTTAACGTTCAATCGGTACGTACAGTCGCCGTCGCTGACTCCATTTCGCGGGGACGTGTTTCGCGCAAAGGACGGTCACCGAACCAAATGTCGAAAAGCCGTACACCAAGAGTGTGATCAACCGAAGTCGGCGGGATCAACCAACACAGAGTTACAGAGGCAGCAGTGCGCATGACGAGCATGGGCCATCAGAAGATCTGTTGCCGCTCTTGTTTGTGAGAGGCACGCAAAAGGCTGGTTGGCGCCCTATCGTATGTGCCCGGGACTCACCTCGCCGACTGCTACGCAGCGGGCAACACCACAAAAAGGCAACTACACAGGTTTCAATTCCCGACTACACCCCGAGGTATTTCACGAGGAAATGTAATAATCCCCACTAATCACAGAGATTCCGCGGAGAAACCTCCGGGCGATGACCGTGTATATACCCGTTTGTAAAGAACGTATTTAGTTCAAGAACACAGCAGTCTGTGTTACAGCAGTAGGATCTACATGACGTCGCTAGCGCACGCGAAGAGTCGCCGTGAGAACAAAAAAATCCCCAAGAAAATGAATGCGAGATCGGTTTATGCCATTACAGTTGCACTACCGAAGGTTGAGATAGAGTACAACGATACAACCGCAATGACCGTGGCCATGTCCTCTTGCGCCGCCCGCGGGAGGCCAGACACCAAATTCCCGAAGGGAAGCCTTCTACCAAAGACGATTTTGCCTCATCCTAGAAAGAAAAGCACTGCTGTGGGGGGCGAGCCACCACGATCATAGTATTGCTATTTGCTTCTAGATGTGCAATCAATGAGCCCCAACAGCCACCGTCGTACACACATGCCATATTGCACTAAGGTACGTTACCTCAGGTGAGCGAGAGATCTTCCAGGTGTGAGGTGGCATCGCGTTGGTGGGATCAAACCAGGCCCTCTGTGCGCTGCTGCTGATGCCGCCGACGCTGCTGGTGCTGCTGCCAAGTGCATCGGCAGCGACTGTTGTCCTTGGGCACGACGCCGGAGCTGCCGGTGGGCTCACACTGCGAAAACAAAATGGCAGAGGGAAGGAGCCGATGCTTCATGAGCTAGACAATTATAGTTCCTATAGATTTGACTATACACGCCGTCACGTATGGACATACGCGTATGGGCATACCGCCAATACACCCATAGTCAACTCCCGTTCGCTGCTGCAACTGTCGATATGATTGGCACACGAAGAGACAATGTGATGGCACACGAAGAGACACTGCTCCGCAACTGGGTTGAGCGAAAACACATGCAAACAACAAATGATGTGCAGGTCACGAAAATGTGGAACAATGAGAAACAGGAAAGTGTAGTTACAAACCTCGAGCAGGTCCCCAAAGCGATAGCAGAACGGCGACAGCAGTTGCTGACTTGCTGGCACAGATGGCGTAAACAACAGTCGACACATTTGCAACGTCCGACGGGCGACGAGTAAACATCGCCACTCCATATTTTGTCGACATCAGGCAGTCGCACGCGTGTGCTACAAGATAAAAAGAGTAGCCAAGTAGATGAGATTGCACAGCATTCTACTAACAAAAATCAGCTGTACATCTGTACCCGTCGGTATCCATGTTCTGTTTATCGAAACACAGAACCACTGCGAACGTCAGCTCTGTCAAGCAAATCGGTGCGGACTAAAATCACGCGGACATACAATCAATTGCTCACAAGAGAGTCGGCGTTGAACCAGCCCTTCCCATCGCACTACCCGTGCAGGAGATGGCAAGAACCAACGCGACCCACGTGGCTTCGACAACGTCAGGCATGGCGAAGGCCAGGTGTACGACCCGCCACCAACCTCGACGCCGCGGGGGTGCCGTGTGCACTGAGGTACAGCAGTAGCACCCCTTTGACTCCGTACCGCGATAAATCTCAAAGCTATAGCTCCGAGTGTGGTAGATGTGTGCTGGCGTGCCTTGTATCACGGGAGGAGCTACATACCCCGCTGCTCCAGCTTGATGGATGGGGGTTGGCGTCCTGTTGACAAGAACTGGCGTGCGATCGTATGGAAATACCAAACAAAAGCTTCCGGTATGCCCTCGATTCTAGCAGGCCTTCACGGCACCCAAGGCGACTAGAAGGGAGCGCAGCACAACCCCGGACAGGGGTCGGAACTTGAGTAACGCGTTCGCACCACACTGGGAGCAGCTGAAGCGCGCACAGACGAGACTGACTGTAAACTGTGTGAAGGGCGGCGGGATAAGGTCCACAGTTCCGTCGGAGCTGATTGGCCCAACCACGCCGCCCTCTCGACGCGCTAATCGGCTGACGAATGAAATGACGAAATGACGTCAGTCTGGTCGGGTCCAAAATGGTATGCGCACATGCACACGTTTGTTGTTGTTGTTGTTGTTGTTGTTTCTCTCACATTAGCTCTATAGTCCACAAAAATGGGGAGCCCGTGGTCGCAAAACCCGGCACATACGACGCCGCGGGAAAACAAAACAAGAATAGAGTACAAACCACTCGGATAAAAAAACATGATAAAAAGAAAAGAACAGCTATATATACCGCACCGACCGGTCGAGAAAAGGAGCCCCCTAGGAAACCGATGAAAAATAAATAAATAAATAAATAAATAAATGCTTCCCACACCCGCCTAAAAAAATGAAAGGGTGCCGTACCAGCATCAGGCACTACGCACCAGGGCATGGAAGTGGAGGCAACAGAACAAAGAGGCGGCAGATGGGCAGACAGCCATCTAAATAAAAGCAAAACAGCAAAAGGGAGATCAAGGTACCCAACAAGGCAGAGTAGGCAGGGAGGACATGAAAAAAGAAGCACAGCAGGGCATCAACATTCTTCCTCGAATCCGGCAAGTTCCTTTTTTCTATCCATTCAGATGCTTCCCCGCTTCCATCCAGAACACACCATGGCTCATCTGTCTAGTAGTGCTTGCGTACCATTGCTAAAGCATATTGGATTGAATGGGCAGGTCGTCCTATCGCCATCAGTATTACCATGCTCTGCGTGCGACTCGAGTTGTCCGATTTTTGAGAATGATGATGATGACGAATGACAATGAATCATGCGTTTGATTCCTACATATATAGTAGGCTACAATGTAGCTGTAGCAGGCAAACAGCAGCTCAACATATCCCACGTTTTCCGGGTGCCCAGATCATCGACGTCTCGGTTTTTCCATATTATCCTCGCGCGTTGTCATTCGTCATTATCCTCGCACGTGTGTATTGCGCCATTGAAACCCCTACTGTACTGCTGTACCGCCAGACTTCAGAAAAAATAGTCAATGGTACCGCCCAGGTACCCCTGACCAGTACACGATGGATGTCCTATGCAGATTCTTCGAAGTCTTCTTCATCAATCCATTAAGGAAAAATAAATACACGCACAGAAAGACTACCCATTCGAGATATACCTACAGTCGAACGCCCATGTTGTTGTCCCCTCGGAGCGTTCGTCGTCGCCACCACACAATCGAAAGATGCAGGAGACCTCGTGCAACGGCAACGCCCAAATTTTTTTCGCCGGTGCTTGCCGGAGTACGGTATTCCCCCAAGAGCAACTGTAAATTCCGCATCTTTTCGGTATTTCTCCTGCAGGTGGGGTGTCTCGCGTTGTGTCTATCCGTTACACACAGTCAAACGCAGTACTACCCCTTTTGACAAATCGGAGAATCATAACACGGGGTCACGTTTGGCGTGCCACGGGAGCTTTATGTGTGCCCCACTGCTGCCAACACTATCACACCCTCAGAAGTCTACCCGCTAGAACACTGCACACAGGCAAAGGTGGACGACACAGAAACATAAGTAGACAGCAAGTGAACGGAGGCGATCCAGCCCGCCATCAGACGCATAACGGGCGATTCAGCCGACTAATCACGCGCTTTTTACCCAACAAGCGAAGCGGCCCATCTGAGAAACGGGCGCATCACGGCTTGAACATAGGGGGGTTCTCGTAGCAACCACCAGAGAAACAACCAAAATCAGACAGATGGACAGATTCACATCTTGACGTATCTCGACTTGAACAAGGGGTGTTTCTTTGGCGGTGGCCTCGAGTCGTACTCCATGTACCTTGACCCGTCCGCTCCCGAAAGCGCTCCCAAGTTACCCTTCCGTCGCATCACCTGGACAGCCCATGAAACGTAAAAATAAGTTCGAAACGATCGCGTTATTTACGGTATGTCCATCTCGAAGTGGAGTGAACACATTGCTCGACATGGAGTGGTTGTCAACAAATAGGAATTGAGAGAAGTGGAGACCATCTGATTAGCATAAATAAGGCAAGTGTTCTTGTTAAAAAGCGCGGCACATAAACCCCTTACCGACGTCGTCCCTACGTATCGTGTTGTACCCGAAGTATACACTTGCCTTTTCATGACTCTTGGTTTATATTCTTTGAACGTGTTGTTCGTGGGGAAACGTGGTCTTCGGTGTTCGCATTGTCTCCCGACTTTCCGGTTCGTCAGCTCACAGCGCGCCAAGCGTGGAGACGTCATTCATACACCATCAACCGTTTCTTTGGGACTATTTCCCGAGGTCACGGATTCATTTCAAAGCTTACCGTGCCCCTTGCAGATCCCTCTCCGATGTCGTCCATATCCCTATCTAGCATCTTCTTCTCGTCCTTCTCTTCCTGGTCCGTCTTGGCCATGAGCGTTTCCTGCAGAACCCGGAGCTCAGACTTGCGGTCTGGGAGCTTGCTTTGCGACCGATCCGACGCATTTGCGAGGTCCGTCACCACCTGCAGAAGCGTACGCAGAAGCGTGGCGGCATGTACACGGGTCACAGCATTGCTCGAATGCATTGTCGCATTCATGCTGGTCCGGATTCAAACTCAGGCCAAGCCTACGTAGGGCTAGCCTACATGGTTGGCGTTGGCCTGGTTCAAATTCGTTGGGACACGTGCATCGCTGCTCGTCGTTATAGTCCGTCGAAAACGTCGTGCTGCTTATGGGTAGTTTCCGGTCACTCTTGTTTTTCCGTGTTTCTCCCGATACATCTTTTTGTTTCTGGTGGCTGATACATACTCCGACCAATCGTTGCATTTCGAAAACCTCTTGAGTCACACATCCTCTGCCCTGACCTCGAAGGCTCTATAAAACGTCGCAAACCTACAAATAGACGAGCGAGTGTTGTGGGTACACCCCGAACTGGCCCTTGAGTGGGACTGACTTGGTCGATGAGCGGGGAATTGGTGTGCACAGTCCCGGTCAAAAGGAAAACATGCGCATTCCCCGACGGTGTTGCCCTGACCGAAAAGGAACCTAAGTGTTGGGGGTAGGATTGGGGACTTCCGCATGCGATAGTATAAGCGTCAGGGTCGATCTACAGTAGGCTGTGGAAAGGTCGAGTACCTTGAAGGTGTAGCCCTGGTCAACGAGGTACTGCTGCCGCTTGGACGAGTAGTACATCTCCGACGTGTCTGTGCTGACCAGCGTGTAGAAGAACGCGTTGAAACCACCGTCGACGTTGGACTGCACGAATACCAGCATGGTGGAAATGACGTGAAGAGGCCGACAAGGCCAAAAACGGTGTCAATCTAGCAAGATAATCTATCATAGAGTAAAATTAACTTTTCATTCTTTTGGTCGGGTGGACGGAGTGACATCCAGCCCCGGTCGGATTCGCCAATGTCCCTACGAGGTGCGCAAAAGAGAAACAGAGAGTTGGCACGTCGACCCATTGGGAGCCAACGACGGCTGGAGGGATGATTGGGCCACCGTGTGCTGACCTTTGTGTACAAGACACGTGTTCGAACATCGTCCAAAGGCCAAAAATTGTAGTTTCAATCGACCGACAGAATACATCGGCTTCCCATGAATCGGTCGAGAATCGTAGAAAATAAATACTTGACAGCAATGGTAAGACAGACAACACAGGAGAGGTGCCAACCTGTAGAAGCTAAACGCACATGTTTCCTCAAACATTGCCGCATCAACAAGGATCTACGCAGCCGCTACCAAATGGAGGCGATTCTTACCTTCGGTCGTAAAATCCGCCCCAACCGTTGAGCCTCCTGCCTACGGCTACCGAAGTGGCTCGAGATCTGCGACACAGAAAAAAGAAGCGGCATCGATGGTTCGATGGTAAGTGTTATTGTCTCGAAGTGCAAGCAACACAGCGGACAAACGCTTCTTGTGCCTTCTCTCGACGCACGTACGAAAAGTGCGAGTCACCAGCCCGATATGATATCGTAGGTACCGCGAACTCGGTAGCAACACGGACAACAATTCAACAACAAAGAGCTCTATCACGGCGAAGTGTCATCCGAGGAAGAAGGACGTAGAGCAGCAGAACTACCGCGTTCGCCAATCGTACTTCCATTCTCAAAACATACCTGGATGATGACGTTCGCCTCCGGGATGTCGATCGACGTGTCTCCCACCTTGGATAGGCCGATGCAGTTCACCAGGGGATTCACCCGAAACGTCCCCAGAATACGCGATCGTTCGCTCTCTGGCGTAGCGCCGTAGATGAACGGGATTTGTAGGATCGTGGCGAACTGTCAACGAGAGGAGGGTAACGAACGCCGGCGGGTGTTATCACGAGACGGGCTCAAGCTGCGAAGAACAACGACGGAACTTTAATCCCGAGTACAAACCACGGTACCGTGAGGAGATAGGCGTCGCCAGAGTCACATGAAGCGCAAGCTTCCTGCCAAGAATCACGTCTGAGATTTTTGAAAGCAATCCACGTTCCAAACCTTCGCGGTTTTTCGTTTCCCACTGTACTCACCTCTTCCGGATAGTGGGGATTCTACGCAACTGCCCCGTGGATGCTTCGACAAATACAGCACTACGTGAAACGATCGCATAGCCTTGCTCCGAAGTTTGGTCTGTCTACCTCGAACGAATGTGAGCACCTGCTTTGGAACACAGTTCTACCAACCAAATCACGCAAGTCTTGTGTCAAACGCCACGTGCACATGGCCCTTTCTGGCTTAGGGAAGGGACGGGGAGAAAATGCTGACAATACCTGAAATCATGTACTCCAAAAAGTGTGTGTAAGTGTCGTTCGTGTAATCGGAGACGTGTTTCCAATTTCAGCACATGACAGTACGCTACCTCTTTCCGTCTACCTTTTTGAGGGAGAACACGTTGTCTCCGAAGATGATAACCTTGTCGTTCCTCTCCATGTGGGTCCGCACCAAGTACTCGCAAGTCCTGGAAAGAAAGAAAATACGGGAGAACATGCCCGCAACCACCACACAAACACGCCATCGCGAAAGCGATAGTCTAGACAGAGTGAGACACCAAATGGTACTGCTTCTAGACTGAGCACTCTATTTAGCACAGAGTCAGTCACGCCTGCTCGGGATACAGCACCTAAGGCTAATGTGTGAATCACTGAGTCGACATATCGCCAAGCTGCACGCTATTTCTGCCGTCGGTGCCATTTCAAGTGAATAGCTACTTGCGGAGGAGCCGAACGCATGTCTCGCCGGAAGTCATTGCGTTGGGGTTCATTTTCTCGCACGTTTGCATGTATCACACCCCTTTCTATGACGCGATAGAGGAGTCGGATGGTTGTCTTGCCCGACCTCAACGAGTTGGAGGTTATGATTGGCTACAACTTGAAACTGTGTCAGAGCCAAACGGATGCCTCGCCTGAACTTGTTGGGGTTCATGATGTACAGCAGCTGCTTCTGTCGAGCGGTGACCCCAGGCTTGAGGTACTCGGAGTAGAACTCCGCCGTCATGGGGCACCAAGCCTCCACGCACTGCACGTTCGCGAGGTATCCACTCTGTAGCCAGCACACAACACGCACACGTACGGGTAAGGGTATCGACGAAACAGTGGTCCAGGCCCGAGAAAAGATCCGTCGTACATTCTATGGCAACCGCGGCACACGATCACGCATCATCTTCACATCCGCCAAACACTGAAGTCATCCACACAACTACAATGATAGCAGAAAAAGCAACACGAGCGCGGCGACAGCAACATCGGTCACAACACCATTGACACACCTGGGTTAGATCCATCCAGTTGGCCTCGTAGAGCTTGGGCCCGATGAGGAAGTTGAGGTCGGAGATCAAGTCGTCCTCTCGCACGAGGGTAGCGGTCAGCCCCAGCTTGCAGTGGGCGTTGCACACGCTCAGCACTTTCCGGAACATGCGTGCCGGAACCACGTGCACCTTGGAAATTTTCCCGCGATGTGCAAGAAAAATGGCAGATTGCGCGGCGACCAAGAGTGGAAGGGAGCAAAACGGGTCAACAGGTGACGGACAGTGCGCGCGGGGGTCCAAAATCCGCCAGAAGACACTACAATAAACGATCCGTCTCAGGCATGTTTCATAACAATCCCAGAAACAAAAAAACGCAACACCCTGACCGGAAGATGTACATTCTGCTTGCAGCTATATGGCAAGCGTACACACAACGTGTCTCTGTACACACAGAACGCAGGGAAAATATTTCGGATGATCGGTTTTTGACGCCCCATACACGTTGCACCCGTCGCCGGCAGCTTCCATTCCTACCAGATGGGGAAGCCTCGCTGACAGAAGAGCATCCTCTGCGGTGCATGCCTTCAACGTTGCCGAAGTAAGACTACGAAAAAGATGGTGCCATGTAGGCCGCCAACGCTACCGGGCACTGCTCACAAAAACTAGGCCTGCGCAGCTACTTGCTCTGCTCTTAAACACTACCGAATATGATACACACGCACGAAAGGTAAACGGAAGTAGGGCAAAGCGACAGGTCTGGTGGGCAAGTGCATATACACTACAATTCGTTTTACACATGATTGTGGGTACCTCGTCGAGTAGCATGAAACCCCACTCGCGCTTGGTGATGGTGTCAATGATCTTCTTGGCGATCTCCGAACGCTGTCCCGCGAAGCTGATCATGCTGTAAGTCGTGATCAGCACGCCGGCCTTTGCGAAACGAAACGAAGACAGTGCATTAGTTGCTGCGTCTCGCGAAGAACAGATGCTTATAGAAGTAAGCGTCTTTCGGGAGGGCGAGAGACGCTATTGCCAATAGTGCGTGCTTCAGGCAAGGGGCCCGGCCCCTCTGTGTCGGTAGTGCGTGGGGTCCGTAGAAACGTGATGGTATAAAACACGCGAACGAGGGCGCGCTTTGTGGCTCAAACAATGGCGGCTCCCAGAAGTATACTTTGGACGCAACATCTTGTTTTGTTCAGAAAACCTTGTGTCACACCTCTTCGTTGATGGCTTCCTTGATGTCGGAAGTGAAGCAGGAGATGTCCTTCTCCGCGATGTCCGTCCACAACTGCAGAAAGTATCACGAAGACACGGAATAGTCCACACCGCATCAATGCGCGGCAGAGTCAACACAGGATGCGACGGCGGATCATCCCTTCGTTTGCGGCGCAACAATCTCCGAATACAATAGCCTATAATAGTCACGTTTACCACATACCGGAGCAAGTAGGACTTCGCCGGATGACACAACACAGAAATCAAATGAGCAACCTTGAAGAAGAAACACAAAAAATGCCTCCGACTGACAAACCTGAAACTGGTACTTCCACTGTAACACACTGACGCCGCTGGTGCAGAGCACGAGGCAGCTCTTCTTGATGGTAGACGCGGCGGTCACCCCAGTCAACGTCTTGCCTGCTCCACACGGCAACACAATGATGCCTGTCGAGACAGCAGCCACAGCGGCGGCAACAACGGCGGAACAAGAGTCAACATGAAAACACAGAATGAGTTGCAGACCACATCACATCGGGCTCATGTTTTGCACGGAATCAACATCTCTCCATGTTTGCTCCAAGGAGACGCTGCCGATTCCACAAAAGAGTGCAAACGGCTGATTCAATCAAGAGTGCGACAACCCCTCAAAACGACACCAGCAAAGCATAAAGGACCAACCTGAGCGAGCCCTTCCGTTTCCAAACATCTTGCTCAAGGACTTCTCCTGGTAGGCCCTGATGCGAGTGTTGGCCTTGAGGTCGATCTTAAGAGGAGGGTTCAAGGTGTCGTTCCGGAAGTCGTACTCCTCCATCAGAGGGTACTCCATGTCGTTCGCCGCCTTCTTCACGTGCTCCACCTCACTGCACGCCCGCAAAAATAGAGAGTTCCACGATGCCGAAGGAGGGAATATTTTCGAGAAGCTTTAGCGTATGCGTGCAGGGTATGGCCGAAGCATTGGCGTATCGCTCGCGTCGCAATCCCTTCCGTGTCATCGGCATGGGGCATCGGCATCGGTCCTTTTGGTACCTCAATGACGAAATACTCAAGCATACCGATTGTAATATTGTTGGAGTAGGGACGTCGTCGGGAACGTTTCTACCAACAAACACACCAAAAGAATTGTACAGGAACCACCCGCACCCCACATGCCAAGTTCTTTGACCACACGTACTACGTACTGCCCCACGGTCAGGTCTCACCTGTTTTTCACCCGAAACGCCACGTTCTTCAGCGCTCCACCCGGCTGCGTGCCCATCATCACATCCGGGTCAGCATCGTCCCCATCCCCCTCGCGGGCCAGCTCCTTGTACTCCAGGTTCACGTCCATCTCTTGCGGGGCATCCGTCAACGTGAATCCATCGCCAGCCGCCCCCCCCCTGGCGCCCCCGCCACCACCACGCGCCCCCCCTGCAGCTGCTGCTGCTGCCGTTGCTGCTGACCCCGCACCACTTGCCGCGGCACCCCCCGCCGCGGCTGTCTTGTTCGTCCCGCCTGTTTTTGGTGGCGGCGCAACCTCCTCCTCTTCCTCTTCGCCGAGACGGGCTTGGCTTACCTATCAAAGCGACAGCGGTGACGCGGTGGTTTTTTTTTCTTGCTGCAGATCGCAAATAGCGTAGGTTGTGGACACGGGAGAAGGCATCACAAAAGGGGCATATGCCCGCCAAGTGTGGGAAAAGTGGAGTAGAAAAGGAGAAACGGCTAGTGAGTGCCCGTAAATACGAGCGTTGCAGAACTTGTTGTGCATGCAGATGACGTCACCAGTGCTCGATAATACCCCAAGCCAAGCATCAAACATATGGAGGCGTTGTAGCCAGAATAAACATCAGCCCTTTTCCCCCCAACGAAGTGAACAATATAATAGTTCCACTCCCGTTACTGTTCATTGGCAGCTCCAACAATCGCTGGCAGTACCGTAGGCCTTTTCCAGCTCGTACGAATACCAATCCTCTATTCGAAGCGCAGCACGCACGCTACTTTCATGCCTCACCGTTGGATTCTTGAGCAGCTCTCGAAGTACCTCTGGAAATGGAGACTCTATGTAGTGCTTGTTGTGCTTGAGGACGAGCTTGGCCTTGCCGTAGCTCACCGTACACGCCCTGATGAACGTCTCCACGCTGTCAGGGACGGGAGTCTGTATCACACACGTCCACGAATTAATTGAGAACCGCAAAACACACGGGAAGAGAAGCGTACGTACGTGCCACAGAAAACCGTGAAGCGTTCATGGTGCCGCAAAAGATCATCACAGTACATATTCATAAATCAAGCATGAAGGGATCAGCTGACACAGGGAATGACACAAGAGGCATGCAACTCTGACGTAACTGTTTCAGTGCGTAGCATCAGGCCGAGCATTCCTCCGTCCTAGGCCAAACATATCAAGACGCAACTCTGGAGCGCGTGGTGATTCCACACGTCGATGTAATTCTGTATACCGGCCTCTGACACGCCTACCGCAATCGACAGGGAAAACGCGCTCACATCCCATTCCAACAAGTCTCGTCCCACGTTGCAGCACACCTACCTTTGACAACCTGTTGAGCACCTTGACGATGCTGTCGGTGTCGATGGACACAGCGACCGCAGCATACAAGGAGTAGGGGGTCAGCTTGTACTCGTGCACGAACTCCGGCCGAGACACGGGTTCCGCGATCGCAACCAAGAAGTCATACGCCTGGACAGATGAGCAAGACCCAGGAAGCGTTGTGTAACGAAACAGGGGCAGAAACGAGAAAAAAACATGGTCGGGTTGGCGATCGCAACTTGTCACGGTCAATCGAGCGGAAATGCAAAGTACAAAAGGGGTCCTCGAATAAGGCGGTCGCTCTCTATTATAAGGCGGGTGAAATATATGCGGCATAAACGGAACAATCAAGTTGCTTACGCATTGAATAAGGCGGCTGCTCCATATAAGGCGGTCACTATCAGCTTCCCCAACACCGCCATATTTTAGACACCCACTGTACATCGAACCATGGAACTTGCGTCGTAAATGCGTTGCCTGTGAGGTTGCGCGGTTAGGTACCTGGTGGTAATACGGCGAGGAGGCCTCGAGGTAGATGTGCCCGTCGGGGAGCACCCAGATGGGACGGTCGGTGTGCTGCGGCTTGAGCTGCATGTCCCTGCAGTCCTTGAGGTTCATGAGCATGGAATCATTGCCGTCCTCATCGTCGTCGTCGTCGTCGTCCGTGTTTGCGGCGCCAGCGCGTTGTTGCTGCTTTTGTTGCTGCTTGCTGGCCGTCTTGCCTTTGCCGCTGGAGCTAGCAGCAGCACCTTTTGCCCCTCGAGACTGTTTGCGCAGCATCATTGAAAGGGGTAGTTTTGCGGCCGGGGGTTAAAGCCCAGCCAGACACGTGTGTTCAATAAAACTGGTGCACATGGGGTACAAGCTGGGGTTGGGCATTTAGGATGAAGGTTAGGGTTAGATTTCGACAAGAGACGATTACTTGCGCTTACATTTATCGGTTGCCGAGCTGGGCAACGACATGCACGTCGGTTCTATTGGTCCAAATCGCAGTATCTACCAATCTATCCATTTGTTGGTCGGGTGGACGGGCTAGTGGGATGTTCGTTCTTCTCGTCACGTGCGGTACGAATTCTTTGGAAAAGAGCAAACCGTTTCAACCGCACACCGGTAGCAGCACTAAGGCATTACGCTAGGCAATCCTTCGCGAAGCGACACTGCACAACGGTGGTTTGTGTTTGAGCTCACCGCTGTGAGGTTCTTCTGTAGATCCCTCGCCCGCCTGCCTGAGGTACCACCGGCGTTCCAGTCCTCGTCATCATCGTCATCTTCCCAGTCAGAGGGCACCAAGTACGCATCCTCGTCTTCGTCGAAGCCCCCCCCGCCGCGATGTCTGCCATGAAACACACAGAACCGAAAATCATGACATCTACCAATCATCAACCCGACTCTCCGACAGGGCACCAACAAATGTAACGCCTTGTTAGACGCATCGGCACCGTTCTCAGGACCGTTCCCCGCCTGCGGCTTTGCTGGCGCGCGCGCATCCTTTCCATGTAAGTCCACGGCAGCACGACCATGCACCATATTGTACTGTAGCACGACACCACATGACATACTCCCTTACAATTAGCCTCGTGCCTTGGGTGGAAAGGGCAGCACGACAGCGACTAAGTTGGTATTCCAACTCTGTAGCGCCTGTACGGTTGTAGCGGGCTACAGCAGTACCCAGTAGCCTTCGCAGGGTCTTTCCACTAGAAGAACCATGTTGGAAAAAAGCATGCAATCGAGGAAGTTGGGTTAGGGTTAGGGTTAGGGTTGGGGAATAGGGTCCGCGTCCCCCCTCCCTGTTCTATTTCCTCACAAACTTATTAATCTCGCGAAGGCGGTCCATCGCGGCGCTGCAGTTTGCATCTTGCACCTCACGCCTTCGGAAAGCTGCTGCTGCTCGGGCAAATATCTTAAGGGCCCCCAGAGCAGCAAGTTCGATGTTGACTAATTTTGAAAACATACGCGAGAGCACCAGAAACTGTACAACAGACACACAAGACCAGTCGGAAGGCATCGCCAAAAACAGAAATCGTTGAATCCTGCACAGGGCGACAGTAGAGGCTGCTAAAAACATACATTTCACGCGTCTACCTCCGCACGCCCCCTTTGAAATCAAGACAAAAAATCGCCCAATTCTAATTTCAAGTCAAAGAGCCAAAACGGCAGGCGTTCAAATAAGGTCTGTGTTGACAGGTACCTGGTAATTAGCACTGTTATCAGTAGAGGACACCATGAAGAGGCGTCGTGCGTGCTGGCACGTTCAGGTTTGCTACAAGGGCTGAAATATCGAAGGTTGCAGCAGTCTCTGAAAACAGTCCGAAATCTGCGCCGGAACCAAGCGGCATCCAACATTTGTCACAGCCGTGCACACCGCCGCGGACTCCAATCTCCTGAACTGTGCGCTTACAGCAGGAGCTCATGCCACGAGCTACTGCGGACAACCCTCCGTTGAGGGGTTTACGGTCCGTGGCGGTGTGCACGGCTGTGACAAATATTGGATGCCGCTTGGTTCCGGCGCAGATTTCGGACTGTTTTCAGAGACTGCTGCAACCTTCGATATTTCAGCTCCAGTAGCAAACCTGAACGTGCCAGCACGCACGACGCCTCTTCATGGTGTCCTTTACTGATAACAGTACTAATTACCAGGTACCTCCTGCGGGAAGGTTGTTTTCTTTATTATGTTGGATTAAAGTATGAGAAAAGAGCCAGCGTCAAAACCCCCCGTTCTGGGGGCCCTTAAATCCTGACCAGGGTCGAAACAAGACCGCAAATTGTAACTCTGACCCACACTCCCTATCTCCTCGCACGACGTCAACATTCGTCCATATACTACACATGTAAGGTAGGGTACGATTGTCTGCTTTCTCTAACATGTACAAATCTTAATCGAAAAACCCTGTGAAAGCTACCGGCCGTAATGGTGTACTTGGTGTCTTGGAAGTTAAGTATTTCAGCACGAGTGCCCTTTGCTGCCTACAGCAGCAGTAGACCTACAGCAGCATCTAAGGCCCTGGAATAAATCATTTGCCAAGGCAAACACTCGCTATCAGGTATGCATGATATTTCTGCTTCAAGCTGCAACAGACGTACTGCCAAGTCTCTTGGTAGCCTGCGGTTGCCATCACATTTGTATTATAGTACACCTCTCAAGCGAAAAAACAGGTCCGCATCCTTCCCCTTCGAAAGACATTGAACGGAGCGTACAGCGTACAGCAGTACAGCAGTGGATACCCACGAGGGGCGTGCGCGCATGGTCGACGCAGCCGACAAAGGAAGAAACTACCACGGTTCTCACCTACTGCTTGACTTGCGCCTTTTGCTCATCTTGTCGCTCTCTCCCGTGTGCTGTGTGACAACAGCAGTGCTCGGTGTGCTGTTGCCCCACCGCTGCCAGCCCAACGAGTCGAGTCGAGCAGGGGGCTCCGTGAATCTTACCCCACCATTTCGCGCACGAAGCACCCTCAAACCGCGCCCCCAACCGCGCCGCGCCCAACGCACGCACAGGGCTCGACACTGCTGAGGGCGCCATGTCTGAGACGCCGAGGCCAAGCTACGTGGAGTACGGAGAGCATGAGAAAAAATCGTTGAGCAAGAGCTGGGATGCAGAAAGCCGATTCCGGCTCCAGGAGAATGCACTCAGCTTGCCCACTGGCGAAGACGACACCGCTCTGTTCAGGGTCAAAGTCGAGCTGGGGCTTCACGAGCTCACGGCCGCTCTTACTAGCCTTAGGTGAGTCCCGGTCCTTTTCCACATGCCTGGTCGTGGATCTCAGCTTGCGCATTTGTATGAGCTTTTAGTGCCGGGCACTTCTTAGTTGCGGACGGCAGATGATCTGGCAGCCCCCGACCGTCGTATCTTTTGCGCCGTGATATCCAAGCGTGTGTTAAGATTGTGTCGTGTCGACGCGCTCTTCTGCGGATGTGAGCCAGGATGCAATGATGAAGGCCCCTGGCAAATCATGTCGAGGCCGTTCGACTCGCGATGATAGAGCGATTGCAACGCGTTCCTGCGGTGGGCTCACCCACAGCGGTGACATGGAACTCGATTTCCGCTGGGCGTCGCTACCAACATGCTGCATCCCATGGTACACAGTACTGTATGAGAGCGTTGCAATCAATCGCAGCCGCGCCGGATCTAAAGAGCTCAATGGCGGTGCTGAACTAAACAAGCGATCGGTGATATGACTGGATCCAAGATGCACGGCGGCTACTACAAGCTGACGGTGGTCCGAGCTCGATCTGCACCTCTACGCCCCGCTGTGGTGACACGGAGCGTGTTCGTGCGTGCTGCAGCGAACTGCACTTGCTTACAGAGCGCGCTATCACATTATTGTTTTGGACAACCCTTACGGCTTATTGCCTTTGTCGACAAACCAACGGAATGTGGAGGTTTTATTTTAGGGTGGGGTGGAAGTGTTGTTGGTTGTAGGAACTCTGAAGTTCTAACAGTAAGTGTACCTTCGGTAGAAAGTTAGTGTCGTGTTAACATGCCAACCCTTCCCGTTCTGCTGGTGTGTCGCACAGCCGTCGAATTGACAAGCTGGAGGAGAACACAGCCCCTCCCGATACGGAAAAGCAGGATGAGGCAGTGAAGGAACTCGCTCGCAGCGCCCGTTGCCTCTCCCAGGCCCTGCCAGGTGTGCCCTCTCAACTTTCAGGCGGTCGACCTGGTCTGCGCGAACGGACTCGGTTAGCCCGGATCCTTGCAATAGGCATCCAAAGAGTAGGTTTCCCAAGCCACGTCCGGTGCTGCCTTGACACTGAGTGGCGGGCTGGGTTCAGATCCCTCTCATGCTTCCTTCGACGGCCTTCGAGTAGCCCTTCAAATATATTTCCTGTAGGCGGGAATGTTTATCGTTCGGTTGCCGGCGGCGGGGTCGCGATGTTTTGAACGGAGTACGTGTCACTACCGGCATCAACCATCTCCAAATGGATGCAGGTATCGCGTCAGCGCGGACGAGGCGGCGCGCTCTACACGGCTATTTTCGCGAGGGTGACGAGAAGAGGGGCGGCTATGGGGACAGGAATGATCCGGCTGCCAGGTTCGGGGGGTGTGCGCGAATGGTGATATCATGGGTGATGACATTGGCTCGTCCTGTTAGGCGAGGTAGGCTAGTGCTACGAGCTGTAGCGAGTGCTTGTGTAAAGGGGAATCAGCGGTGATTGGTATGGTGTGTTCATGAATTGCATGGTGTTTTTTCATACCAGATGCCGAATCTGTGCACATCGGCACGAGTTGTCCTAGCAGCACGAAAGCAATGGCAGTACAACTCTGCACAATCGGTTCCCACGTTCGGCACACGCAGGCTTACCTACCGTTGTCGCCTGCCCTTGTTGGCCGATCGTGCGCAATGAACTTATGCTGCTATCAAACTATGCTGCGTACGGTTCCCTGTCTCCGAACAAAGGCGGAGGCAACGGTTTAGAGAGATTCTCAACTACGATAGACGGAATTACGAAATGATCCAATACAAAGGTACGGTGAAATGGAAGGCCCGGTGCGAGAAACTTGCAGCTCTCTTGGCACGACCCTCTCTCAAATTGTAGGTATGTAGTACATGTACCCAGGATATGCACGCCTGAACCAACGACGACTTGGGCTCCAAAATGTTTGCATGGCCGCCCCGTCTCCTGTGCTGCTCATGCCATCTGAGCCCCCCAATCGTTTCCGTGGAATGTGTCGCAGGGCTCTCGTCATCGAAGGCCTGGCGTGCCTGGCGGGCAAGGTCAGGGTGGAAACGGCTCGGGGTAAGGCCAACGGTGGGGGGGTATGGTCGAGCACAACCAGAGCTACCCGTGGGTTGAGCCCGTCGCCCCGTCGCCAAAAACAGTCGACTCACTCTTCTGTAGGAGAGACAGGCGTGGCATCGGAGGAGGAGAAAATGCTTCAAGGAGTGATTTCTCGCGATGGTGGCGACGGAGACACGCGAATGTTAGCACCCGCTTCGGAACGAGATTTCTCTTCGCTGAGAACTTTGGCTCTACCGAAAGGGTTCGCGCCGGAAGGCGAGTTTGCTCCCGGCAGGCTCGAGGTTGAACATCTCCGCGGCAGTCTCGAGCCTTCTCTCCCGCCATCGCCCATTACCTTGACCGGTTCGACTAACTACAGAATGCTCCCGCCTGCCCCCAAGAAGACCAAGGACAGAAGCCTGAGAGCAGAGTCGAAAGTAGGGCGGTGGGCAGAGAGTGCGAGGCTTACAGAACCTAATGAGGGGAAGCCCCGAAACGAGGCCAACCCAAGCGCTAGCGGTGGCAGCAACGGTGGTGCGGGTGGCGGTAGCAGCAGCAACAGCTTGAGCAGCAGCAGCAACAGCTTGAGCAGCAGCAGCGCCGTTCAGGACGATTCAAGCTCTAGAGCGATAAACGGGGCCAGCGGCAATAGCAGTGCGCTTGGAGCCACGAGCGATTCTCGTTCGGAGAAGGGTCGGCCTACAGAAGGCGAAAGGTCCAATTATCCTAGCGTGGCTCGTGTGGCTGCTTCGGAAAGAACCGCCGATAATGGTGACGATCGCAACAAATACACGACACAGCTCATGAACATGACCAGTGCTGCTACTGGAAGTAGCAGAGGCACGCCTGGTGAAGCTGGCAGCGCTTCAGACCGAGACGTGATGGTCAGGATGCTGCTGAACGCCGCTGGAGCAGCAGCTGAAGCGGAAGAGCGAGTTGAAGGCCCAGGCGCACAAGGAGATGGGCAAGGCTTCACCAGGAGGGGTCTGCGCCGTTGGTTTGACAGTGACGGTGGTGGCAGCAGAGGTGGTGGTAGCATCCAGGTTCGGCAAGAGGACCTGGACGACTTCCGACGGGAGGTAGACGTGGTGCGTGCCCTAAGCAGCCATTTGCGCGGCTCAGCATCGTCCACGTCTTCTTCTCTTTCTGCTTCGTCTTCTTCCTGGCGCGCTGCCACAGGTGCGGTCAATGCTGTCACCGCTGCTGCTCCGGCGGCGGTGGTACAACGAACCAAAGCCAGCGAAGTACCCAAGGACAAGAGCGGCGGAAGCTTCTCGCCCGAAGGGGTTTCGCTGGATGCGTTGGAGATTGCGCGACCGCAGAACCAGCGATCTTTGTTGGATGCGGAAGGCGGGAAGAAAACGCCTTTGGTGGACGGCGAAAGGCGCTCGTCGTTCAGTTGCCGGGACAAAGTTTCGCTAGAACGGGATGGCAGAGCGCGGCTCGTGGATGCGCAGGGTTTCTTCGACTTGGGGGCTGCTGGTACATGCAGGGAGGACTCGGCGGGGCTCGCGGGGTTGGAGGTAACGGTCGTAGGCCCCGGGGTACGTTGGCCGGGTTGTTTTTGTCCTTTGGTGGTGGTATGCATAGTTTGCCTTACTCGGTTCTTCCTAGGGGTGGTTGTAGTTTCTACATTTGCGCAAGTTGAGCACTACGAACAGTGATCCGCTTGTCGCCCCGTCGCCGCCTAAGTGCAAGACATGGTTCCTCTCAATTCTGTCTCTTGGATACACGCACGCAGGGGAAACAATCGGAGGGTCCCTACCCCGAGATCTCCGATCGCGGCGTAGCGGAGCTTGAGGCAAAGTTGGAGGATCTCCGTAAGATCGGAGACAGGATCAAGGATGAGGCGGTGAGTGAGCGGCGCGTGCTGGGTTGGTGGTGGGTGGTTGCGAAGTGTTTTACTCCCAATGGATTTGTTGCTTGGGATTGTCAAATCTGGCCTACTGTATAACAATCCTGTATATCTGACCTTGTTTCTTACGAGGGAGGGGGTGCTGGTTGTCGGGTAAATTGAACGCGCTGTTGTAATTTGGTGCTTAACATGGACGTGTACTGCCGCTCGCGCGCGAATTCGGACTATTCATGCAGGTATCCGCTCTAAACTACAAAACTACAAATGTCTTTCAAGAGTTGCATTGGTAGTTGATATCTCGGCGACATGTTGTTTGAAGAACGGAGTATGACCGTGTGATGGCCTCGTTCGTGACGCCTCCCCGCGGCAGTCAGACTCTTCGATACGAAACCTGTCACTACTAAAGCGCGCCCCCATGTTCCATCTACCCTTTCTCGTCATGCCGCTCGTCTGACATATTAGGCGGCTACGATGGAACCGAGCGTGACGATTCCAACCCAAGATTTTTGTGAGTCGGGCTCGCCTTTTCCGCCATCTCGGCACCCGCACCACCATCAACAGACGAGTCGCAGCGGGCGAACTCGCGGGAGCAAACTGGTCGGCGCTGCTACGGGTTCTGCCTTTACGTCGGCGGAATCGTCTCCGTGTCGTTCAGAGGTGGACCTTTTATCGTCTGCGGTGCCACCCCCGAGACCGGGCGACCACCAGGGAACGGAGCCGGCCCTGTCGAAACTGCTGGCGCCGCCGTTCAACAATGTAGCGCTGCGGGGGGAATTTATCGCATCTCTGGAACAGCACCTCGCTCAGTATGAAGATTGTACAAGGCACACAGTTGAAGACGACGCTACGGGGAAAGCCGTAGGTGACGGGCATGCTAAGGTCGACGATATGGTAGCGGCTTGCGACGGTGACGGAGACCAAGCCTGCCGCAACGGTAGCCGTGACAGGAGCGACGACACTTGCACCTCATTCCTAGGAACGATAACATCCGTGAGGGAGATTCCTTCGTCAAGTGTGGCCTCTGAGACCAGATCGAAACAACCGGTTCGGGCTGCGCCGAAAGAAGTCGAGGAGGCTGAAAACGCTACCCCAAACGCTACAGGTGCGACAAGCGGTGTGTCAAGGGAAGACACGGATGGTCTGGTGGAGGGAGAGGGACATCACGAAAAGACGCCGATCGAGGAAACTACTGCTGGGATGGAAGCGAAGACGTCAATAAACTGGGCCCAGGAGTATCATGACTACCTGTGCAGCAAAGATCCATGAAGGTCCTATCCAGTTGTATGCGTGTGTATGGATTTGGTTCAATGGATGGGCGTTGAAGTCTCGGGAGGAGGTATTGCGTGCAAGAAGAGGCTTGAAGCTGACGTAAGCGGCGTACCTAGATGGCCTTTACATAGCACGGGCTCGTGAAGTGTGTGTAGAGAGAAAGTATTCTATGTCTCTATCTGCAGCTCGTACGTACCACAGGAGGAAAAACGTGATGCTAGTGAGACCCATCTTTTTGGGGAGCAAATCTTCCTTTGGGCAAATCTTGCCTTTTTCGACCTTTGGGGCAGCCTGCGTCGCGAACGAATGAAAATCAGCATGTTCGACCCTCGAGAAAAGTCACAGCTTTGGTTGAGATGTCTACAGATCACCTATTTGTTTCGCCAGGGTCCACGTTTGATTTTTTTCCAGCAGAGCAAGATTTGCAAATTCGTCCAAGATTGGGCCGAATAGCCAACTCCGAGCAAATCTTGGGTCAAGATTTGCCAAGATTTGAAAAAATGCTGGTTTTGGAAGGGTCTTGCGTGAAAATTGCACATTTTGAAAAAATCAAACGGGGACCCTTGCGTAATTGTGCGAAATAAGAGATTCCAGAGGCAATAGTATATGTTCAGTTGTTTGGTCGGAGAGAGCGGTAGGAAAAACGGAGTAATAGAGGATGGGGGGGCTACACCATCCGAGCATACCTACCGACAGACGCTTGTATCCTACAGTAGTGTCAATCATTCCGATGACAGGATCCTTGGGAAGATCCGATTGACGTCGTCTCGTGCATATTGAAAACGTTCTCAGCATGAGGTTGACCAACTATGTGCTGTGCATCGTCTAGCTGTAGAGCGATTTATGCTTACTTGCGTGCGTAGTACGATTCAGCAAGCTGTGATACTCAGGATGACAGCTATTTAGCTACTGAACTTAAAGCATGTCAAGATAATCAAAGTTCACCAGAAGGAAGCTTTTTCACAAACGACTGAAAAATACTTCGTGTATGATGCATGAACACCGCTGAGAACTATTTCGTGCCAGGCAACGACCAAACAATGTCAACGCTGCCTTAACGGAACACATGCAAAGAGTGCACCAATGAAGCAGAAACAAATGCTTCCGGGCCGGTTGAATCGTTCCCGATTCCAATCTTAGCTCGAGATCCTTTCGGGTAATGCATGATGCTTTAGCGTTGCACTGCGGGTGGGTTGACGTCTTCGGCGCTGCCCCGTCGCTGTCCGCTCGAAAGACGGCGTCACCTACGCTTTCTATCTATCTATGCATACTGTACTTACGAAGTGTTTTCTACAACAGTGCATCCGCCCACACCGGTCGACGCTCGACATGCTGTTCGCGATCCAGCGGCTCCATGAGCTCGCGAGGAAGAAGAGTACTGCGGTCTTCGCGTGCTTCGTCGACCTCACCAAGGCGTACGATTCGGTGGACCGAGACCTACTGTGGGACGTGCTCCGACGCTTCGGCGTGCCCCCGAAGATGCTGGCGGTCATTCGCCACTTCCACGAGGGCATGAGGACGCGCGTCCGAACGGACGACGGGCAGTACTCGGAATGGTTCGACGTGGGCCAAGGCCTCCGACAGGGATGCAACCTGGCCCCGCTGCTGTTCAACTTGTTCTTTGCCGCGATGCTCATGGTCGCCGTGGCCGAGCTCGACAAGGACCCCAAGGTAACGGCGGGCATGGTCAAGATCGGGACACAAGTGGAGTACACGGGCAAGAAGGGCAGGTCGGCTGGGAAGAAGACGACGGTGGTGACGGACGTGGAGGCCCTGTGGGCCATGCTCTATGCTGACGACGCGGCCATCGTCTCGCGCTCGCCGGAGAGTCTCGAGAAGATTATGTCCGTCATCGTGCGCGTGGCCGGCCTGTTCGGACTGATGGTATCGGAGCCAAAGACGGAGATCATGTGCATGTTGCCGATCGAGCAACGCCCGTTCACGGTCAGCGCCGCCGGTCAGAGGTGCAAGCAGACAGATCGGTTTGTGTACCTCGGACGTACCATCTGCACGGACGGGAAGGCCGACCGGGAGATTACGAGCCGCAGCTGCCGAGCGTGGAAGTGCTACCGCCGGAAGAGTGTTTCGATGTACGACAGGCGACCGGCCGACCGCCAGCTCAAGATCCAGCTACAACAGGCTGAAGTGGTGGAGACTCTCCTGTACGGGTGCGCCTCGTGGAGCCTAACAGCGGAGCACTACACGAAGCTCAATGGGACCCACCGCCAGTTCCTGACACGGTGCATCGGCTGGAGCAAGCCGCTCAGACCGCCCCCTTGTCCTATGCCCAGGCCCTCATCCAGGCCGGCTGCGAGGAAACCATCGAGGCCACCGTGCGCAAACGGAGACTGTGTTTCGCGGGCTTCGTTATGCGCATGGAGGACAACCGCCTCCCCAAGCGCATGCTGGTAGGAGCGATGGCGGGCGTGGGATACCGGGGCAGGCAGGAGAGCGACTGGGTGTCTCGTCTAGGAGAGGACCTCGTGGCGTTCAACATGGGAGACGAAAAGGAAGGGGGGAATGGAAAGAGAGCGCCAAGGACCCGGAGGCGTGGTACAACAAGGTCGAGGACGGGGCGGCATGGTTCATGAGGAAATGGCACAGACAGGAGGCGGAAGCGTCCGCGAAGCGCCAGTGCGCGAGGGAAGCAGAAGAAGCAGGGAGTACGGCTATCTCGGGACCGCATATTGTGATAAATCAACGCGACGAGTGAGTATCGTCGGCTTTGCCTGTCTGAAGCTGATTTGTTTTTGAGCGGGTTTGATTAGCTGCTGGCTGAGTACACTGCGTTGTTGACAGATCACGACCCGACGGCGAATGGAAACAAAAACTGAAACATCAGACGCTCGTGGAACAACCGTAGATTCATATGTTAGTCGCGGTGCAACACTACGTTCATTCCCATTGCTAATCAACCGCGGACTCCTATCCATCTGGGGAAGAGCAAGGGTAGTGTGGTGCTAGAGAAACTCACCGGTCACCGTTCGCTGTTGTGGTGATATTGTAAACAGCCGTCCCAGTAGCTTCTCAGTCAGTCAGTCACACACCTTCCAACCGTGGCCACAGGCCAAGTACCCAAAGAAATGTATTATCGCAATAAATTATACTTGCTGTGCAACAAAGCAAATACCCCAAAAGGTGCAATGACTATCCAACAAAGAGAAACATTTTCTGTGCTGATGATGAGGCCTTTCGGTTTCTGATATACATTTGATCTTTCACAACATGGTTGAGATAGACTTCACAAAGAATGAATTCACTCCTCTGAATCCCTAGATGAGATTCACCAAGAAATTTTAAAACATGCCATTCACCAAGATCACAAAAAACGAGCGACAGAGACAGGAAGACGGCGAACCGTGAAGAGGAGAGAAACAGGGCGAATGGTCGCACACGATCCCTCACGGTCGCACATTTCAGGCGTATGCAGCATGCCGGCGCATCGGCGAACCGTATCTTGCTAAGATAACGATTGGTTCTATGTAGGTCGCGTCGGAAACTCACTCGGCACACATATATTTTCATTACTAAAACACCTCTGAAATGAGAATTATGCCGTGGTTGCTGCCACGCTGACGGCGAGATTCGATTGTTTCCGGCGTTGTTCGTGAAGCTAAAAAGAGCGATAAAGACAGGAAGACAGAAGACCAACCGTGCAAAAGGACCGAAACAAGCGCGCATGGTCGCACACTTCTGGCACAACGTACAATTTGCTTACCCGTCGACTCGCCGGATGCGCTTTCGTCGTGTCATGGCTTTCGGCACAATATCGCGCTGGAAACTCACTCGGCCCGAACTCACTTTCATTGCTCTAAACCACCACCTGACACAATCATTTAACTTTGATATCCTGCCTAGCGGGCTTTGAGATTCGATTTTTACCGACGTCAATGCTCGAGAAGCAAAAACGAGCGATTAAGACAGGAGACGACCGTTCAAACTACGCGCATGGTTGCACGCGTCTGGAGCAACATGTCGCGAGACGTGAGCCATAGGTCGAGATCAGCCTTTGAGACACGGTCGGACAAAGGTGGGGGAATCGGAATAAGAAGGCCAATGAATATAGGTCGGAGCCACCGAAGCCTACAGCTTCTGAGTAAGGAGGAAAGTGAGATTGAATACTTAGAAGAAGTGAGATGAGGAGCCAGGAGGGCGGAAAGCCCCACCGGTCAACGACCTGAGATTTCTTTTTTCAGCAAGGCTTTCGAAGCTGTCGAGGGCATGCTTGACTCAATCAAAAGCTGTGGACATGGCAAGCCTGGTGAGAGTTTCATTGTAGACAGGCATTGTGTAGGCGCAGAAACAACACAGAATAACCGAACGAAAAGGAGGGAAGGCGGACATGGCAACCGCTCCTTCTGCTTTGACCTCCGCGGGGACGACGAGGAGGCGGGCTTAGCGATGTCGACCGAACTAAGACCGCCGCGATCGGGGCTCGAAAGCAGAACTTTACCTTCGAGGAAGGCCGTGACAACTGGCAGAGAGCCGATCTTCATCCAAACCGAGGCGATACAGCGTGGGCGAATACTGGTTCTAGGGAGTTGCGGGTGGTATCTGCGACGAGGAGGTACAGTAGTTGGAAATCGTATTCAGCTTTACCAAGGCGAGGAAGAGGAAACGCCCCCCCGCACTTCCCACGCTATCGCCAAGTTCAGCGAATGTGCCTATAATAGCGGTCACCCGCACTGTCCTGGCTTTCCCCTGTGCTGATTAATTTATGTGTACGCAAGTTCATTCGTCCATCCTATACTGCACCCGGGTGTAAATTCCGGCCCTTCCTACGGCAAATACTCAGTCGCAGGACGCATCGGCAACAGGAAAAATTGTTTAGGAAGCTTGAACCGGCTATGAACGACAAGATGCAAATCCAGGGTGTCCACAAGCACTCTAGCACTCCTCAAGGTCTCACGTGGCCGCCCTAGGCTCTTGTGAGCTTACGCGGATGGTGCGCACAACCTCCAACACCCAAAGATATCACGATTTAGCTCACTGCCTACGATTCCAACGACTCCTTCCTTAGATTTTGATTCCGATCTCACACGCTACCGTTTCAGTGCACGGGTATTCACACGTGGTAGTCACACGTGAGCGTACGAATTCATCGTGATACAACGGCCGTGACGTCTATTCGTCAGTATTTGGTGAGCGAGACGTTAGGCATATTGTGGATAGAAGCGGGTCGCAATCGGGTGGACTCCTCCCGCACCCCCGTTCTTCGCCGGGCAGCGTAGACGGGTGCGTTGGTTCTATGTCTCTATCCGCGCCCTCCACACGCGAGCTCATCGGCTGCTCATACACTCCATCGTACTCACACACTCCGCCGTGATAAAGCGCATTCCTCGGCTCCCATGGGCCACGACC